GCGGAGCTGGTGGAGAGGGTAGCCGAAGACTTGGACGGTTGTATTTTCAGTTCTCGTGCAGTGAAGTGATGAATAAGATCGGCAAGGTAGCAGCTCACTTTCGATCAGAGGTCATCAACATCCTAGCCAGACGCCATTATCGAGTAATCATTGGCATACGAGGTTAGGGAAACTCCTTCTGATAGAGGAGGGAGATTCGAAATGTAAAAATCAAACAGTAGTGGGTAGAGGACACCACCCTGCGGAACCCCTGTTTAATTTATCTGGGTTTCGATGTTTCAATTAGGTAGCCCGTGACTCAGCTCTGCAACACCGGCGGTAATTAAGGTTCCTCGATGTCCGTGAATGGTTAGCGGTGTCAAAAGCTTTTGACATATTCAATGCTACCAGGACTGTTCGCTCGCAGGGTCGGTTTTGGTTAAGGCAATTAGCTATCTGGGTGTTTATGGCTGTTGTGGTACAGTGCATTTTTCGGAAGCTAAGCAGAACGCTGACGGTGAGTATCTTTGCTACTGGAAAAAGGAGAGTTGCCAGCCGATAAGGCTCTTCTTTGTTGGCTAGTTTCCCCGGTTTGAGTAGCGGGGCCCATTTCCCACTCGTCAGGTATCATAAGGGTGGTCAAAGTCAAGTTGGCGACCTTGGTGAGAAAGTCTGCTTCCGCTGGTCCAAGATGTGTAAGCATCAGCATGCTGGTGACCCCTGGAACCTCTACCGTGGAGATATCAAGCGCCGCATTGGTGTTTGGCAGTTTGCGCATAAGGCAGGTTACACGTCGCTTCGCTTTGTCTACCGAAGGATGCAGTATAAAATGTCGGCTAAAATAGCTTGTGCATTTCCTCCGCAGGTCCGACGAGGCGCAACCACCGAATGAAATTTTCACCCGGTGATCACGTCTTGTTGGGTTTCGTTGCCTAACCCAGAGCTTGGTTATCCTAGACGACCTGTTTACCTAAACGGGGTCCTCGAAAGGGTGACAGCCTTGCGGGGCAACTCCGGTGCGCAGTACCGGCTGTCTTGGGAGTTGTAATGCTCTTAGATGTTCTTTTGACGGAGTTTTAACTTAAAAACGGATCAAATTTAAAAAATCGGCTGTATATATACCATAGAGGTCTGATCAGGCCGGTTCTGAGAACTGATCTTTTAAATGTAAGGGTGCATCTGTATATAAAATTTGGTTAAAATATCTTAAAACTGAGGAAGTTGTTTGCTTACAAAGTGACAGTCGAACCGACAGACGAAGGAAATGTCTGAATCGACTCGTCATTCTGATGATATCGGTCTGAGGGGTCTTCATCTTTTCTTTCTGAAACTTACATATTACGGGCCAGTTCTGACAACTACACAGTGGCTCTTAAACTTTTAAGGCTTTTGGTTCAAACAAACTGTATAAAAAATATATATTTTTTTACATACACGATAGTTTTTTTTTAACATGATTTAATTTGGTTATGGCTTAAGACACATTTCTATTTGATAAAATCTAATTAATTAATCCAAATTAAACTCAATTCTCCTTAATAGTCACAGAAGTCTCAATCTATTCTAATGTCAATACATAATCCATTCGCTGCCATAATAGATTATAAGTGCTATACATATAACTTAGATACATGCGTTTATTTCATTTATTCACTCAATTACTGAGTAATCGATATCCGTTTGGTTTTAGAAAGTCAATGAATGAGCAGCCATAAAAGAATGACACGATTTCTTTATAATTAAACTTTTTGTAAATTTTCAAAATGTCAACATGTTTCATAATCAAGCGTAGAAGAGTAGATTGTTAGATATCTATATATCTATGTATCGTAATGTACATATGTATACAAACACAGGTCATATGTACATAAGCACAAGTGTATGTACATATGTACATTTGTACCTGTAGTATATAATGTAAATATTTGCATAAGTGCTTTGGCGCATTCCGACCTTGCGAATGAGCAGCCACTCTGAAGCACTTAAGATATCGGACATTATGACCATTAAAATGATTGGTGCAAGTACATACTCGTATATGGGGACATAAGCGAAAATTCCAAGTTTGACAGTTGTTAAAGAATGCCGCGTGGCAGGCGTCAGACATAGAGCGCAAATCTGTATGTTTTTTCCACATGTTAATTTAACAATTTGAGGAGTGTCCCAAAGCAGCAAATTCAAATTCGGACTCAAAGGTGTCGTATTAGCATAAAAAAAAGTTATAGAGAATTAATTCAAGTAAAAAATTAAACTAAATTTTCTAACAGCGGTCGCCCCTCCGCAAGGAATATCAACCGCTGCGAGTGGAATTCTGACATAAAATAGAGGTTCCCCATAAAAACCCAACAGCCGTTCGGAGGCGGCTTAGTAAAAACTGTAGGTCCCACCATTTGTTTGAAAAACATCAAGATGCAAAACCACAAATTGGAGTCTTCGTCTGAAAATCATTTCAGCGGTTACAAAGCGCCAGTTGTATATATGGTCGCAGTGGTCTGGACAGACCTTTTCGATTTTGACTTTGAACTATCAACTAGAAATTTCTTGTCTTTTTCTAAAACTTCAATAACTATCTATATGCGAAACAAAATCAGGACGAAAAAATTGACACAAGGGTAATTATAAGGATATAAATATATACCAAATCCTTTGTAATTACTTTATTACTCTATTAGTCTTCCTTTTTAGAACGATTGGAGTTGAGAAAACGCAAGATAGCTGAGGATAGGTCAGACAAAATTCCACCACCAATGCAAATATAAATTCTCCATGTGATTCTCTTCGATTTTCGGCCTAATTTACAGCCAATAAAAATATTCAGTGAATGCCAAATTGCATACGGAACGATTGCACCGTTTTTTAGGATTATTTCTAAGTGGGTCGACGAAACTCTTCCACTGATGACGACACTGTAGCACTGTAGCAAGTCATTATTGACACAAGAAATGATTGCCAATAAAATGCCACATTCCTGTTTGCCAACAACATTCCAAATTTTATTATATTTGTTTTCGATGCGCGCCACATGAATATATATTGTTATTCATTCTTATTCTATAATTAAACAGAAGAATTAAGGGGAAAGAAAAATCATTTTTTTTTATATTCCAAAATTTTGTGTTTGATGTTTGTATTTTCATTAGCGGCTAGATCAACACATGCAAAAGTCAGTGTGAAGAAGAAAACAAACTCAAATTACCCATACAAATGCATGTAAAATGTATGGGTGGTGACCATACCACTTCGACCGTTCGAAGGTATATAAATGTCCGTCCGACGGAATGTTAAACTGACTTATGATAATTTGTAGCTAATTCATTTAGATATCGATATGGATTCCAAAGTAATCTGTTAGTAAAACGTAAGTTTTATAGAGGAGTCATTTCCGGGGATCAAGTAGATTTGTGCCTTACATAGACATTCGTCTGTTACTTAGACCATTTGCTAATCTACCTATCGCCGAAAGATAAAGAACGTTGAAGCACAGCGTGAAATTGGTAAAATAGCCAAAATGGTAAGTACAGTATGTAAGTCGCATTGCGTCCACGCGTTCCAGAGTAATTTAAACAAAAAATCTTCATTGGCTTTCTAAAGACTTTAGCTCTTATTTTGCTAGACTACCTTGATTAATTTTTAGAAATAGTTTTTCAAACCAAAAAAAAAAAAGATTTCTACAAAAAGCCAGAAATCACTGTAATAAACATATACAATTATGTTAAGATCACTGTTCAAGCCCTGGTATAAACAACATCCAAAAATTACAAAAAATTACCACCAGCTGTGCGAAGGCGACTTAGTATGAGCTTTAGATCCCTTCATTCGTTGGCCGAGAAGCAAATCAGCAGTTACAAAACAGCATGTATAATAATATGCATGGGTGTGTTAAGGAAAGCGGGTCACACTGTTGACTCTAACAGGGCTATTCTCACTGTTACCGGTAAAGTAAATATTGCTACTTTTCTTTAACAACCGAAATTGAATTTGGTATTCTGTCGAAGTGGTTGCAAAATTTGAAAAAAATTTGGCAGCACTGCTTTTTTCGTCTATTTCAAATTACATTTACCAGTTGATAAAGAAAAAGAAAAATATTCACATCGAAATGGAAGACGGTGCACAAAAAAATTAAAAATTTTGTTAATTTGTTTATTATATCAAAAATTTTTGAACCTAATTATGGAAAATACGCCTGGACAAAAAAAAAAAGCTGAATGAAAACTTTATCTCACAAATTAAAGGACTATTTTTTAGTCTCGAAAACTGCCTTTTGCACTTTTTTCTTCATTTTCAATAAATTCCAGGCCTAAAATATGTCTACCCATTTTGGTTTTTTTTCTCAAACTTACAACACAAAATCAAACAGGGCAACAGTGAGCCCAGAATACGAAATGGTAACAAAATTTACTGAATAGTAAATTTTTTAAGTAAATTTTGTTACTTCGACAGAATAGGCCTGTAAATGTATGTTTTCAAAATTTGTGGCACCTCATGCAATGCCAAGCGCTGCGTTTTATGTAACTTCATGTCGCCACACTGTAACTGACCGATAACCACTCACTGTCAAGCCGTCAACAGACAACGGGACACTATGAGTGCTTTGATTAATAAGGAAATTCTTAAATCGACGGATGTTTTTATACACTTCATAAAAATACGATTTTAGCAAATTATTTAGATTGTCAATTAGTGATTGATACACGGCTGTCATTATTGGTGCCCAGCCGCAACGACAACACCTGAAACTCGAGCAGTGTCAAAACCGCCAAACGCCAAGCCTAATACGCCAAAAAGACCAAAAAGACCAAAAATCAATAGAAAAGCAATAACAAAATTGAAAAATTAAAAATGCTTACGCGTGTCTCTGCCAACGGCGGCAAACGGGGAGGCCTGTTGGCGTAGCGCTGTCTACAACTATTACTTCGTCTAGCCGAAAAGCCAAAAACCTAGCTAACCAACCACCCAGCCCGCCGCCAGTTGACCAACTATCAAACTGGTTTCTTTGAAGTTTATAAAAATCGTAACATTTTGCCAATTGGACAACAGTCGTGAATTAGCGCCGCCAACGTTGGTGCATACAGAAAACAGTATAAGTTGAGCAAATCGAGCAACGCGCATTGTCGTGTTAGCAAATTAAAGGAAACGGAAGTGTGCGCTTTTTGTGCGAGTGTATGTTCGAAACGACAAAAATAAGCGTAAATCCTTTTCTCAATAAGTCAAATTACAAATAAAAAGTGCTGAAATGTTTGCGAATTCACATCTATCTCTGCGAAGCATCGTCGCTTGTTTGTGTTTGGTGGCGCATGCGCAAGCCGCCTACAAACTGCAGGAACGTTATAGTTGGACACAAATGGATTTTGCCTTTCCTAATCCTGGCTTGAAGCAACAGGCACTGGCAAGTGGTGATTATATACCACAGAATGCGTTGCCTGTCGGTATGGAGCATTGGGGCAATCGTCTGTTCGTTACTGTGCCGCGTTGGCGTGACGGTAGGTTTGGTTGAAAATATGAAAGGAGGAAAAAGGATAAAAGGATATACAATAGAATAAATGAGGGAAACAGAAAATAATATATCAAAAAAAAAAAAATGAGATATTTGAAAAATATACTTTTGAAAAAGAAAGTATCAGCCGAAGAGCACACTAATATTAATCTCATAATAATAAAAAGTTATTTGAAATTAGATTTCAATATTGGTAAAATTCAATAATCTGGTGCCCCAAATAGTAAATATTAAAAAAGAGATGGGACATTGAATTACTTCATATCTTTTTGTCAGCTCGCCACGATAGTCAAGTGGTTAGCAGTGCGAGTTCAGGATAACTCAATATTTTAAATTATAGAAAATTAAATTTTGTAAAAGCGGTTGGCCCTTGGCAGGGGATGTCCAACTCTCCGACTGCATTTCGGATATGAAATAAGGGCTCCTCGTAAAAAAAATCATCAGCCGTTCGTGGGTGATGTTGGAAAATATCAATATTCCACACATCTGCCGAGAATCGCTGTAGTGGTTAAGAAGCGCCAATTTAATTAAATTTTTCAAAAATATATAAATATACATAAATATGTATACTTAGCAATTGTAGCTGCTCACAATATGTTTGGGTTTATTTTGTGATTATTTCTGTAATAAAAAAATTTACAATTTAGTAAGGATCATAGTTTCCAAATTTCACAGTACTATTTTAACAAAGTTTAAAAGGGATTTGTTATTTATCTTGAATAATTTAAATTTAATTTCGTTTAAAAATTTTATAGAAGTAAGTGAAGTTACAGCGTCGCCTTTTAAGTTTAAGAGCCAGAGCTTTTGCTTTCTTAGGAAAGCTTATTATGGCCGAGTCAGTTTCGGCTCATACTACAATGCAGCTTAAAGTTTCCTTTTTGAAACTTTAGTTGTTCGATGTGAGAATTTTCAGTCTTATCCTCGCTAATCCGAAAATTCCCTGTCAAAGCATTTACTCTAAGCGAGAATCCTGATCTTATTATTGAGAGGAAGCCAATTTATTTTGAAAAAGATAAGGGTAGATGCTATGCAGGATTTTTCCACATTGTGTTTTTGTATGTTGATAAAAAAGTAAAATAAAAAATATCAAAATATATACAAAATCTAAGCTCGGAGTTGGCTTTAATATATAAAAATCTGTAACGTTTACTACGAGGTCAGAACGAAACTCTATTGTTTCAATACCAAACCCCAGCTTATGTATTACTAAGAGTTTGGAATCACGTTTGCCAAATTAAAATTAGTTATTAGCATAATATTAATAATAATAAATTAATAGATTATAATAACTTTTTATCGGATAGTTAAAAGAAAAGAATAATATTAAATTTTTGGAGGTTTTGTCTTTTTATAGCTCAACAGAAATTTGTCGAAATTCTCATTGTCAAATCGCAAAAAAAAGCCACCTGTACTCAAAGTGTCTCAGGGGAATGTAACAAAACTAAATAAATAAAAATTAAAATAAAGAAACAAGCTTATTTGTCTTTCAAATATGTGGTTTCTGCTCGGTAACAGATCAATTACCCACTGAATATAAGCTAATCAATCACGTTCATTATCTACGTATACAATTACTTTTTATTTTGTATGCTTTTAGAGTAAAAAATGAATTGGCGATAATATTAAAGCAGTTAAATAGAGTAACAAATCTACATAAATGTACATATATACTCGTATAAGCTTTGATAATAATTTAGAAGGCAAAAAAAGCAAAAAATAAAGCATTTAAATTTAGGAAAACATTTCAAATACAACCACATTAAAAAACCTGCAGCTCATTCATCAGAAAGTTTAATGACATCTACTTACTTGCCGGCACTCTATGAGTGGGCAGGAGAATTGAAATGGAACTGCAATAGTGCAGAAAGAGAGTTGGTTATGTTTGAGGCAAAAAATTACGTTTTTGAATATGCCAAGTTTTGACTTTACAGCTAATAAATACCACTATACGTTCAGCATGGGACATTTTCCAGTCACGTACTATTTTTGCCTAAAAAGTATGAAATCTAAAAGTTAAGAAACAAAATAAGAAACAAAAAAATAATAATAATAGTAATCATTTAAGAAGGCTTATACTCGTATTTTTATCGCAATATTCAGTGTGATTTGGTAAATGATTGCCATGAGGTCCTATGCAGTGATCTGACTCTCCAACGATACCGATATGCTGAAACTTTTCTAAATTTGGCAAAATGATCTCAAGGATCAATTCTATAATATTTTTTTTATGCTCCCAACGCCAAACTAGCTTATCAATCTTAGTTGCTATTTAATTTAATTTTATTATTATTATTAAAAATAATTATGTTTCTTTTAATTTTCACTGATTGTTTTATTTCACTTTATTTTACTATATTTCAATTTATTTCGTTTTATTTTAATTTTATTTTATTTCACTTCAGCTAGTTATAGTTTATTTTATTGCAATTAAATTATTTTACATTGATATATTTTATTTTATTTAACTTAGTTTTATCTAACCTTATTTAATTTAAGTTAGCTTAGGTTGCGGTGGCTACCGATCGAACAGACCGGATTCATTTAGGCCTGACTCACACCCATTGTGATACTACAAAAATTTAAGACATCAGGCTTCATCCTCCATCCGTTTTGATTCTCCAATGCTTTTAGCCCAAAGGAAAAAAGACTTATGAGCCTGAAGTCCTTAGGGTAACTATGACTGCCCTCATCAGCTTTGGGGATGAAGATGACTGATACCCGTCTCCATGTCTGTGGTATGTGGTTAAGTTTTAAGCAGGATACATATATAGCTTTCAGCTATTTCGTGGATAGCTCCAAAATGTTCTGCAGCTGTTGGTGATAGTAGTCTGATATGACTCCCAGTTGGTGTGCCTGGGATTCCTTCTAGGATTGGTTTTGACCATGGTACGATCCATGATTATTTCAATGTATCGGTGGTCAGAAAAGAAGGGTTAATTGAGAACTTTCCAGCTTGAAATATAGTCGTGAAGATTTTCACTGCGTAGTGTTAGGTCTATGACTTCTTCACGATTTTTATTAATGTACGTTGGAGTCCTTCCTCTATTAAATATCACTAAATTTGTAGATAGGAGATAGTTGAAAAGTAACTCGCCTCTTTCGTTTACGTTAGTACTGATTCATTGAGTGTGGTGGGCATTACATTATTATTTTATTTTAGTTCGTTACGTCTTATTTTATTTGATGTTATTTAATTTTATTTCATATTAAACTATTTTGTTTTATTTTTCTTATTTCTTTTTCTCTAATTTTATTTTTATTTTGTTATTATTATTAAATTAATATTAAAACTGTTATTTTATTTTATATTATTTTAATTTAACTTAGTTTTGAACGCTTTATTCTATTCTGCAATATTTTTATTTTATTTCATATATCGTTTTTTATTTTAATTTTGTTTTATTTTATTTTATTATTATTATTTTTTATTTAAATTATTTATTTTATTTTAATTTGCCTTATTTAATTTAATATTTTTTTAGGTTTTTTAAATTTAATTCACTTCGTTTATTTTATTTCTTATTACTTTATATTCCCTTAAATGATTTTTTTCGTTTTATTTATTTTTTATTTAATATAAAATTGTGTTGTCTTTTTGTTTTTGTAATTTTAATTGATATCTGTTTTGGTTTTGGTTTATTCATTATAATTTTAAATTATTTGATATTTTTATACTTATTATTTTTTATATATATAATTGGCGCTTTGTAGCCGCTGAAGCGATTTTCGGCCGAGCTCCTATTACTGATTAGTTCTTCATTTCATTATAGTTTACTACTTTATTTTGGCGTTTTATTTTGTTAAATAATTAAGAAACTTTGCTACATATCACAACAGAGTACAGAATGTTATATATTGCCTATGAATGAATTAACAATCCCGTCGCTCCTTTTGCTATCATGGTGGGAACCATTCACATTGCTAATGAGGTGAAACAGGAAAATGAGAGAAAATTCTTTAAATTGTTGCAATACAAATCACCATCTGACCGCATCGATTGTTATGGAAAATAAGTCACAAAAATTGAATCGGATCACGCCCATGCAATTGCAATATACCCGTTTACATATATACATATGCACATATATAGCAGCCATGAGCCGACATAATAAATACGGTTGATTTTGCGGAAAGTATTTACAGTGGACGTGAATTGGCATTTATTTGAACAGAAACACAAATTAATTCAAATCATGAAAACTAAGAGAGTTTCGAGGAACGTCGGAGGGAGCCGTGCAGAAAAGGTTTCAATTTTTAAAAGTTTGTTGTGTGTGATTGTATGAGTTATACAAAATAACCACTTCCCCAGAGTTTTGTCTTTCTGGCATTCGCGCTAAAGTTTATCATGTGATACAAGAACGAGAACTAAATTAAATAATGTTAATGGTTTTCATTCTGTTCGATTGTCATGAAAGCAAAATAATTTTATTCACTGTAAATATTTCTCGCCCAGCCCTTGCTGCAAATACTCTCCCACATCAAACCACTGTTACGGCAAATATTAAGACATCTGCAACTATGTTCACTGCTGGTTTTATCCGCAAAATCCTAATCGGTTATCTAAGCCGATCGTTATCTTTTTTTGGTGAGTAATTGTAACATGGCTTCTCATCCATTTTATATGTTGATCGAATAGTTTTGTACTTTTTCGTACTAACGAGCATTTTGCTTTTTCCTTGCGTCGACTTTTCGTTAGCTGTTTGCCTTTATTTGTTTTATTTTGTTGCAATTAAAATTTCGTTCGCATACACGTAGATAGCTTTTTTCAGTATGAGTGCAACGCATTTTTTATTATTATTCTTATTGTAGTAGTTCTTCATTTTTTTCTATCTACATTATATTTTGCAAATGGTTTTTGTTACAAATTTTATTTCACATTTTGTTGCAACAAATCAATTCGCGACATTTTGTCTAGCTTGTCTACAGACATTTGTTGCTGCATGCGCGGTTTAGCGAACGAGTACTTATGAGCGTCTGACATGTGTA